GGAGGACTCACACGCACAGAACATCATCACACATGTCTGCACAGAGTAAAGTCCCATGTGGACTAACACGGTTGGACTTTTGCACTATGCACTCTTGCACATTTGCTCCCTGTCTGTACAGCCCTGTAATGTATGAAATAGAAATGTTTATTATTTATTTACAGTACGGCAAGATAGGACTGGCACACAAGCTCTGATAAACCCACTGTTGAATTTTAGTTTTCTATTAATCCCTGTGTGATAGTGTTTGGATTTTTATCTTGTGAAACCAAAATGTGTTATCATGTGTGGATGGAGGGGCCAGAACCCCGACTTTGAACCAGGAGTCCCTGGTTCGTGTCCCTCATAAAACAAAAAGTAAACATTAAATATTTTTATTTAAGTTACGTGAGTTATGTAAAGTGCGTAAGTTACGCAAGAGACGTTAGTTAACTTATGTGTTAACTGACGTACGTAGTTATTTTAACCCAAACCATGATCTTTTCCTAACCTTAATCTAGTAGTTTTTGTGCCTAAATCTAACCAAATTGCAGCATTTCACAACTTTAATAACGTGCCGTTTCAAAATGGTGATGTATTTTGTAGTGATGGGAAAAGTCAGTCTTTTGACAGACTCGAGTCATCAAATATTGTTCATTAAATGAACTAGTCATTTCTTTCATTTTAACTTGACTGGTTATTACGGCGCTGCAGCCCTCTAGTGGGCAATTTTAAAACAGCACAGTTCTCAAACAGAAGGTTGCCTGGCTTGCTCTAATTGACAAAGTATAATGCACAAATTCACCTCTTGATCACTCTCTATCATGGTTCTATAAAGCCCCATAGAGCCACAAACAAATTCAAACCATGGAAAAACCACAGAAATATGTTGTCAATATTCAATTAAGCCACTACTCCGGCTAAATCCGTCTATTTTCACAATCTTTCCTGAGTATACTAGCAGACCAGCCATTTACAGGTGCTGGTCATATAATTAGAATATCATCAAAAAGATGATTTTTTTCAGTAATTCCATTCAAAAAGTGAAACTTGGATATTATATTCATCCATTACACACAGACTGATATATTTCAAATGTGATGATTCATTTAATTGTGATGATTAAAACTGACAACTAATGAAAATCCCAAAATCAGTATCTCCGAAAATTAGAATATTACTTAAGACCAATACAAAAAAAGGATTTTTAGAAATGTTGGCCAACTGAAAAGTATGAACATGAAAAGTACGAGCATGTACAGCACTCAATACTTAGTTAGGGCTCCTTTTGCCTGAATTACTGCAGCAATGTGGCGTGGCATGGAGTCGATCAGTCTGTGGCACAACTCAGGTGTTATGAGAGCCCAGGTTGCTCTGATAGTGGCCTTCAGCTCTTCTGCATTGTTGGGTCTGGCGTATCGCATCTTCCTCTTCACAATACTCCATAGATTTTCTATAGGGTTCAGTTCAGGCGAGTTTGCCGGCCAATTAAGAACAGGGATACCATGGTCCTTAAACCAGGTACTGGGAGCTTTGGCACTGTGTGCAGGTGCCAAGTCCTGTTGGAAAATGAAATCTGCATCTCCATAAAGTTGGTCAGCAGCAGGAAGCATGAAATGCTCTAAAACTTCCTGTTAGACGGCTGAGTTGACCTTGGACCTCAGAAAACACAGTGGACCAACACCAGCAGATGACATGGCACCCCAAACCATCACTGACTGTGGAAACTTTACACTGGACTTCAAGCAACATGGTTTTTGTGCCTCTCCTCTCTTCCTCCAGACTCTGGGACCTTGATTTCCAAAGGAAATGCAAAATTTACTTTCATCAGAGAACATAACTTTGGACCACTCAGCAGCAGTCCAGTCCTTTTTGTCTTTAGCCCAGGCGAGACGCTTCTGACGCTGTGTCTTGTTCAAGAGTGGCTTGACACAAAGAATGCGACAGCTGAAACCCATGTCTTGCATACGTCTGTGCGTGGTGGTTCTTGAAGCACTGACTCCAGCTGCAGTCCACTCTTTGTGAATCTCCCCCACATTTTTGAATGGGTTTTGTTTCACAATCCTCTCCAGGGTGCAGTTATCCCTATTGCTTGTACACTTTTTCTACTCTTTTCCTTCCCTTCGCCTCTCTATTAATATGCTTGGACACAGAACTCTGTGAACAGCCAGCCTCTTTAGCAATGACGTTTTGTGTCTTGCCCTCCTTGTGCAAGGTGTCAATGGTCGTCTTTTGGACAGCTGTCAAGTCAGCAGTCTTCCCCATGATTGTGTAGCCTACAGAACTAGACTGAGAGACCACTTAAAGGCCTTTGAAGGGGTTTTGAGTTGATTAGCTGATTAGAGTGTGGCACCAGGTGTCTTCAATATTTAACCTTTTCACAATATTCTAATATTCTTTCTGAGATACTGATTTGGGGGTTTTCATTAGTTGTCAGTTATAATCATCAAAATTAAAAGGAATGAACACTTGAAATATATCAGTCTGTGTGGGATGAATGTATACATTATACAAGTTTCACTTTTTGAATGGATGGCATTACTGAAATAACTTTTTGATGATTATTAATTCTAATTATATGACCAGCACCTGTATATGTATATGTATATAATTACTATCTTCATATCTCTATAGTGCTCATTCATACAGCAGCCTAACGTCCCTATCCATCCATCCATCCATTGTCAACCGCTTATCCTGCGTACAGGGTCATAGGTTGCGTTCTCTGGCCGACCGGATCAGCTGTTAGCTGTAAACAAACCACAGGGCTAACGCTAACGTTGCTATGTGGCTGTCTTTTAATGTTTTATTGACCGGGTCCGTTTGTTTTGGAGAGGCGACGACCTCTGTGATAATTCAGCTCCCGGTAGAACTCTGTCAGGGCTCTGAAGTGGAGTGGACCCAGAACAACTCTCATCAGCTGTTAGCTGTAAACACTAGCAGGACTAAAGTTTCGGGACGGCTGTGTTAAAACTATGGCACAACATCACTGCTCTGTAATAATGTTATGCTTTATTAAATGTCACAAAATTATCAAAATAGATATCAGTCCAGTGACTGTTACCTGACAACCGACTTGACTCTCATTCCCCGGTACTGGCAATTACTCAGCCTGCCGAGTGAAGACAGACTCTGAGGACCCAGCGGTGAACGATTAGTTAATTATGGTGCGTTCCATTTGACATGGGAAGTCGGAATTTCCGAGTTCCCAGTCGGAACTTTCAACTGGAACGCCCCCTGAAGTCGGATTTCCGACTCGGGAAGTCAGGAGAACCGCACTACCCCGACTTCGTGATCCAAGATGGCTGTCGGGGTATCAACAGTTGGTGAAAGCTGTAGTTTATACTGCTTATTAGCACTTCTGTGTACTTGTGACTCATATAAATGTTCGTACACAAAGTGCTGTCCAACAGCTGTCTGTGGACGTGTTGCTACAGTGTTTAGTGTGAGTAAATACCACACAATGCGTTTTTTTAATCAACCAGCGAATCAATAGCTAACCTGACTAGTTGTAAACAAACAGCTGGCTGAGCGAGGTTTTCCGACTTGTTAACTGGAACGCAAATGAACGACTCAAACCCAGACACCCACAGTTGAGAGTTGTGAACTAATCAATACTTTTTCCTGTGCTGACGGAGCCCATGCAGCTGCAGTGAGACGAGTAAACGAGGACGCCAAGACTATTCACGCATACGTGAAAATGAACGAATTATTAGGCCTACTTACTGAGACAACCCTTTCCTCCTGAGTCACATACAAGATTAGGTCCAATGAACAAAACGTTCTTTGAATGACACAACACTAGCATTTTGAAAGTCTAACCGGACGTTGCATTTTGTTGTTGCTAAGCGTTGCTAACTTGAGCCTTAAAAGTCTAAAAGCGACGCTAACCTGCCTGAGTCTGGACACTCAGGTCGCATCTGATGGGACTTTCACATCACTGTAGAGCAGCTTTTCTGCTGTAAACGGAGCCGCGCTGAACGAAAAAGCTCCACAAAAAGCCTTTATCAAACACGTGGCTCTCGTCCTTCTCTACCTCGCTATCATCTACTCACAAATTCCCTTTCTACTACACCTGAAATCCACCGGACCGGGGCGAGCTCTCTTCTGAGTATGTGCATGCAGACACAGTGCGGAGAGAGAGAGAGACGGAGGGAGTGAGTTGTGGGGCAGTTGCGTTGTCCAGCGCCAGAAACCGTAATGAAAAGAACAGAAAGTTGTAAACACTTGTCATGATTCGGAATAAATGTGACCCGAGAGAGGACAATAAAAAACGAGAGTCTCCCGTGAGCTAACCGGAGCTAACCTCTGTTGCTCCTTGTTTACTTCTGTAGCCTGCAACAGCGTGGTGCGTGTGACGTCGTGTTATTCTTCTGCGCATGCGGGTCACTTTCAGGTCGCGGACAGAACACACTGGCCACATTTAAACAGTAATGTGAAAATCGGATCTTGGCAAAAAATCGGAATTGCGTATTAAGGCCTGCAGTCTGAAAGTAGCCTATGTGACGAGTCGGGAGTGAGAATGTGTTGACTGTAAAAAGGGGGAAGTGAAGAGGAAATGCACCGCTTATGTTGCATTCCAGACCGGTCGGAACTGGGAAATTTCCACGTTGAAATATCCGACTTCTGACCTTTTCACATTTCAGGTCATTTTTAACATCTTCCTGAATAACTTTTAGGCAGAGAAGATGACTTTCAGAGATTGTTTACTGTAATAACATTGACAAAATATTTTGACATCAATTTACATGCCGAACAAGTATCACTATTTAATACTAGTATGTAGCCTATTCTTTTAATTTAATAGCCTACTGTAATTTGCTTTTTAGTTTATTGTTTACCATTTGCAATGTGTGCTTCCATGGGAGCTGCCATTGTTGTGTGACGTCATTTGGCTGCTACTCCTGAAGTCTGGGTATTTTTCTCCCAAGTGGCGTTCCATGGTAGCCTACTTTTTATCAGTCAGAAAGTTCCCAGTTTCGAGTTGCCTTGAACGCAGCATTAGTAAATGAAAGTGAAAATAAGTAGTTCAGGGCACACCCGTAACTGTAGTGCACTCCGGCAAATAGAAGTGCCACACTTCTGCAAGTTCCGAATTGCAGGAAAAATGGGTGAATACCAACATCCTTTGTTCTTCGAAGCTAAAGATCTGTCAGACAGAGAGAAGGACAAGATCAGGAGATACTTTCAGAAAAGACGAGATTCTGGGGGAGGTGATTGCGGGATGATTGAAAAGGCTGGGGTCAACATCTATAAAATCAGTTTCAAGGAAAAAGAAGGTAAGAGATCCAATGGGGTTAAAGTGAATTATAGGTTGAATACACTTTGCAGTTTGTCTAAATCTAGTTTTTTGGGGGACCTTGAACTTTGTTGTATTTTTTACAGACCAGGAAAGAGTTTTACAGAGGAAGTTTCACACCATCTCCCTCCCTTCTGGAGAAGTACGTCTGACTGTGAGCCGAACCAATTTGCCACAGAACCCTGATCAGCCCTCCACGAGTCAGTTACAGGTGAGAGTATTGTCTTTTAGAAACCTTGGTTGGTGCTTTCATGATTATGGTAAACACAAACGTCAGAGCCAATTGATCTGGCCCAACCGTATGGGGGATTTCTGAGTAGAAGTAACATCTGATAATAAAAATGTTATGTGTTGTAGTACTGGGTGAGTTTATAGATAATGAAATGTAGTATTCTTATTAGACGTATACATTGTTATAAATAAGTTGATTTGATATTGTTTTTATTCTTTAGACAAAAGCAAACACAAAAGGCCTTGAGAAGATTTTCAAGATAGATATTTACATCCTGTATTACCTGAGAGACAGCCCTAAGGCATCAAAAGTCCTTCAGAAGCAACTCTCTTCTATCGGCTGCACAGCGGAGCTAAACTTTGATGAAGAGGAGGCAGTGGTTAGGGGGGATATAGAGAAGGGGCCTGGAGGGGCCTCTAGCAGTGCTGCAGAGAAATGGGAGTTACAGGTGGATCGGGTCTTTATCAGCCTTACTGAGAGCTACCTCTGCTATCATGTGATTGAGACGAAACAACTAAAGATTCTACTGCAGGACGTCTCGACTGATGATATCAAAGTGTACACAGAGAACGGTTATGCTGTGGTTGTGGGAGAAGTTCAGGCTGTGAAGGAAAAGATTGCATTCCTAGAAAAGAGCCTGCCAACCCGGAAGGAACTGCCAGTTGTGGAGAAGCAGTTCAAACTGGTAGAAGAAGAGTTTATTCGAGAAATGCGTGCACATTGGCCAGAGGTCAAAATCCACAGAGGTAACGCCATGATTATCTTTGAAGGCCCTGACAAGGAGGTGCTGTCAGGAGCGACAAAACTTGATGAACTGATCAAAAAGGTGAAGGAAAAGAGAGTTATGCTCCCCACAGATTTAATAAACTTCATAACATTCAGTGGTGCAATCTCCAAGTACCAAACTCGCTTCCAGCAGAGGCTCAGAAATCCTGTTTCCCTAGAGGTGGGGTCAGACCTGGTCCTGTCCAGTTTGTCCTCTGATGCTCTGGATGAGGCTGAGGCAGCAGTGCAGAGAGACCTGAGTGTGGCCACTGTGCAGCTGCAGGGAGCTGCAGCTGTACCTCCAGATCTAGACAGAGTGAAAGAAATCATGATCAGAGCCAAGAACAAGGAAAACAGTGGGGAGCTCAGAGTGGACGTCAGCTTCATACCAGGACCCAGTGGAACCACAGTCACCAAAGTACAACTTGTGGGCTACAATCAAAATGTGAACAAGCTGAAAGAGGTTCTGCACGACTACCAGATGAACCAAGTCGGGACACAGGAAGTACTGAACCTACCACATCCTGAGCTGGTTGACTGTTTTGATAAATTCTTAGCACTGATTGGCATGAAACAGACCAAGGTGACCTTAAAAGTCTCACATTCCCCATATCCTTGTGTGCTTGTGTCTGGCCCCCGTTGTCTGGTCCAGGAGGCCCAGCAGGCCCTAATCTCAGCTCTAGCCAGTCTGACATCAGACACTTTGGTTCTAGATGGACCGGGGGCTCAGCGTTACTTCCAAACAGAGGGCAAAGAAAGCAAGGAGCTGGTAGAGAGCTCCTGTCAGATCCTGATCAGGGAACAGAAAACACGAAGTATCAGAAGCCCGAGAAGCCTCACACCCAGACCGTCCATCACCAGACGTCGCAGCAGCACTGTTGGAAGCGTTGTGGTCAACAAGACAAGCCTGGAGATCAAGCTGGGCAGTTTAGAGGAAGAGCAGGTTTGACAATTTATGTTCTAATTTATATAAACTAGTCCAGCAGCAATGCAACACTCAAGTTGATATTATTTTACATTATTTCCACAGGTGAATGTGTTGGTGGTCCCCATGCTAAACAGGCAGCTGACTTCTACGAAAATTGGAAAATGTCTGTTGAAAAGAGCAGGGAACGTGATCCAGTCCAAGTTTGACTCTGTGGCAGCGAATTGTTCTCTTGCCCCTGGTGATGTTCTGCAGATTGATGGGCCTCCATCTCTGGGCTGCTCCAAGCTCTTCTTCATTGAATGCTCACCGTGGGATGGAGTCAGAGGGCAGAGTGTGCAGGTAAAGTGAAATACTTGGTGGATTCAAAAATATTGGAGAGAAAACATTACGGGTGAGGGCAAAGGATTAGTTCAAATTCAAGTTTCTCCGCAAAGACATTCATTCGTATGGATAAATAATAACTGAAATATTTAGAAGAAGAATGGCACAATAAGCTTAAGAGAGAAGTTCAAACCCTTCCTCTACATGCCTGGCCAAATGCTGCATAAATCTACTCTATGTCAATTTCTGAATCACAATCTCAATCAGAATACTTTATTGATCCCCGAGATGAAATTCCTGTGTCACAGTTGCACAAATTTTAACCCACACATTTTTGAAAGCAATGTGCAATGCAGGGGATTTTTGTTGTTTTGTAGGCGCTTGCCAATGGGCTGAAGAAGTGTTTGGACCTCTGTGTACAGCAGCGCTTTAGCTCAGTGGCCTTTCCAGTTATCGGACCTGGAATTGTTTTAAAATTCCCGCTGAGTGAAGCCATTCAAGTGCTGACTGAGAACATTCGCCAGTTTGGATTATCTGCATCCTCTGGGTCTCTCTCCACCATCCACATCGTCATTAAACCAGACTATCCAGACTCTGAGCAGGTGACTATCAACACTCAGACAACTGTAGTAACTGGTTTAGACGCATTAATATAGGCTTTATTGAAGAAAAAGTAATTAATGGTGATGTTTTTATTTACAGTGCTACCATGATGTTCATAGACACCTCAGCTCAAATATGAACCAGGGAGGCCAAGGTAAACTAGACAGCTGCTCAGACTACTTTGACTGTTGACTGTTACAAAATTACAAAAACAGGGAAGAATCTCAAATAATTATATATTTATTTGTTAGTAATGTTTCACCATTTCCACTGACATTCTAAATTATATGATTAAACATTAGACATGTTGTGGTTTTCTTCTACTTAGCGATCTTCAGGTCTCTCACTAGTGATCTTGATGACATCACAATGACAGTAGGAGGCGGGGTTAAACTACAGCTGGTGTTTGGTGACATCACTAATGAGACTACAGATGCTGTGGTGAACACGACCGACTTCACAAATTTTCATGACGGTGGGTGAGAGCTGCTGTAGCTGAGGATGTCCTAGTGAGCAGAAAACCACATTGTAACTGTGAAGTTATTTTTAGCCACGTCAGCGACGTGACTCTAGGGACGGCAACGTCGGTCAGTAGGTTCATGACTTTGTTCTAGACCGAAATATCTCATCAACTATCAGATGGCTTGCCCTGTCATTTGTTACAGAAATTCATGTCACCCAAAGTATGATGACTTTTGTGATCCCCTTACATATAATCTACAGTCACCAGCAGATCATAGTTTTCACTTATTCTATTCTTGATCAATTGATGGATTGTTTGACATATGTGTTTTATTTCCTAAAATGTTTGAATTGATTGCCATGAAATTTGGTACTGGAACTGTTAAAATGTTGGTGATCCCTTCATTTTTTCTGTTTCTCTGCACTCCAGTCTCTTACTGACATTCCCATCAGTCTCTGTGCTGTCGGTGTACTTTAGTGTTACGTACTAAGAGCAAATGTTAGCATTGCCAATGACAGCATGCTAATATCAGCATTTAGCTCAGTGCACTACTGTGCCAAAGTACAGCTTCAGAGACCTAATCACCTTTATTCTACAGATGGTGTGTGCAAAGACATCTTAACTGTAGCTGGACCACAGGTGGAGGCTGAACTAAAAGCAGGTGAGAAAAGAGGACCAGAAAGAAATGTTCACGCAAAACACACTTAACAGTTTCTTACTCGTCTTGTCTTTGTTATGTTTATGTAGCAAAAGTGAACCAAGGAGAAGTTTTTGTATCTCAGTCTGGATCATTTCCTTGTGAAGCCATTTTACATGTGTGTGGACAAAGAGATGCTGGTATTATTGAACAACTTGTGCGTCGCATCATTGAACATTGTGAAACATTTGGATTCAAGTCTGTGGCCATTCCTGCCATCTGTGCTGGTAAGATTTTTGTAAGACTTTCAAGATGTTCAATAATCTCAAACACATACAGTGTAAATGACATGAACATGTAGTTCATCTCAGTGTCAGTTTTAAATCTGCCTGTAAAAATACAAACTGTTTGTGCAGGAATTGGCGGGTTGGACCCTGGTGTCGTAGCAGGTGCCATCCTCCGAGGTGTCAAGACCGCTACGTCGTCCACTCCCCTCTACTGTCTCACCAACATCCACCTCGTCTTGATTAAGATCAAAGTTTTCTTGAAGTTTAAAGAGGAAGCAATGCAAATGTTTCCCACTGCTGGAATCAATAGAGGTGACAGGAATTTTCACAGCCTTCTTCTTTTGCGGTTGCTTAGAAATATGTCTTTTTGAAAATATCAGAATTCTCTTATTTCATTGGGAATTGTGACTGATCGTTATCATGTGATCTACCTTACAGTGTCAGTACCTCAGTTTTCTTATGTACAACAACAACAACTCCCTTCATCTATGAGTCCAGACCTTAACATCTTCCATACCAGCTCCAGAAATGAACAGTCCGTCTTCCTGTTCCTGGGTCTCTCCAGAAAGGATGTTGATGATGCCAAGACTAAGCTGAAGAATCTGTATCAGTCTCAGTGCTCCACTCAGTCCTTCAAAAAGGAGGAGCTGGCATGCCTCACCCAGGAGGACATGGAGGATCTGAAGCAGCTGGTTGAGACTGAGGGTCTGTACATGCAGGAGGACCAGTCCGGCCAGGGCAGCTTAACAGTGAGTGGTTTAAAGGACGGGGTCAACAAGGTTGTGCACATGATTAATGCCTCCCTCAGAAGAGAGGTGAGAGTCAGGGAGGAGGAGGAATTGTACACCCGTGTGGCTTGGTGCATCCTGGGACCTAACGGCACCTGGGAGAGACTCCCTAAAACAGCCAATCACAGCCTGGAAAAAAATGATGTAGCAGGAGGGATAGTGGACGCACAGGGCATCCGGTGGAGTGTGAATGCACAGAAGTTGAAGGCAACAAGCCGAGTAACTGGACTGAATGCGAATCTGAAACGACTTGTGAATCTGAGAGGTGAGAAGCTGGTTCTAGATGAGAAGTGATGTAACAAAAAGAGTCTGACTGGTACTGGAGTTTGAGACCACAATCAATACTGATTCATATCTAGATACTAAAATAATTAAAATCTTAATAACATATGTTCTAATTTTGTATTACAACACAAACACAAACAAACATTTACATATAATAATATAAATAACTATTCACTTTATCCATGGACACAGTAGTCGACAAAACAGTTTCACCACATGGACCATTCAGCTCTGCTCTCGAGTCTTCAAACATAACACTTGATCATCATCAGCAGATGGACTTTATCTAGTTGTCATGGAACTTCTGGAAAATCTCTGCACGTTTAGGACTTTTTGTCCATGTTGGCTTCAAATTAAGTAAAAAAATAAATAAACAAAGTTTATGCACAAAAATTGTGCAGGTATTGTATTTAAACTGAGACAGCTATAACATCAAATATGAAGACAAATGCAGCCAATACAACATTAACCTCTGCAGTGTTGTGCTTTGCAACTTTTTTTTGCATTTCAGCCAACATGCAAATTGCTACTGACAGATCTGTGCAGTGGAGTTAAGAGGAATACGCCCAGTCTGGGCTCTAGTTCTCTGCTTGTTACTAGGTTCACCGGTGTGTCAGCCAGAACAACACTTGAGGCCTAATTCTAAGAGCTGAGAGATGGTTGTTATGCTGTTTACTTCTTCCCTTTGCAGTTACACCTGTTCAGGTATTCCAGTCGCCATGCAATAGCTGGGTGTTTATGGCTGGTTGTGATTTCTATACAGAGAAAGAATAACAAATGTTTAAATTTGAACCATATATGCAGTAATATACATAACATTACCAAACCAAATATAAACAATAATCAGGCGTGATATTACTATGACTACCTGTTTCTTAAACTCAAATAATTGTAAACACACGCACATTTCTCTCACTTTTACGCAAGCGCAGCATTTCAAAACACTCCATGAGATTGTCAGGCATATTGCTAACACGCTGTGTTAAAGGTGGGATATGTGATTCAGGAGGAATCCAGCAATGACAAATACCGTGATATAGAGCAAACGACAATAGAGCAAGTAATGTAACTAACGTTAGCTGAGCTTTGGGTTAGCGAACCGATGCTACGTGGAGCTGTGAAGGTAACATGCAGAGATGAGGAGACAGTTGCAGAGCCAACACATCATCTCCAGACAGTGATACAAATGTTCTGCTACTACGGCTAACATCACAACAACAATACAAGGAAATGCAGTACCACAAGTAATGCTGTGGATAAATACTCACTCTTTGTCATACAAACACCTTTAAACACATTTATTGTGATATCTGATCTGTTTCCACTCATTTTGCCCTCCAACTTTTTTCAGACTTCACTCTCCCCCTGTGCTGGGATAATATGGGTCACAGTGAAACTTTTAAGAAGGTTGAGCTGCAGCCTTCCTCTGCAGAGTACCGGACAGTGAAGGAGGCCTTCAAACGAACTGTCTCCAAGACTGTAATGAAGGTGGGCAGCTCTCACTGGAAAAGACATTTCATTGTCTGTAGACATTGAGTACATAAAATTTATTCATGGCACATTCCAGTTAGCTTAATAACTTTCACCTTAATGACTATTACTTATATTTTACTTATTACTTATATTTTACTTTATAAACAGTATATTATAGTGTGGTGATATTTCCAAGGATGTAAATAGAAAATCTGGCAGCTCACTATTTCCTGGTTTTCTTGATAGATCGAGCGTCTGCAGAATGTTCATCTCCGACGCGCCTATGAAGTGCAGAAGAAGAACATTTCTGATAAGAACGTACAGGTGGGTGGAGCAGGTGAAAAGCTTCTCTACCATGGGACGACCCAGGAGAACTGTGACTCCATCATGAAAACTGGGTTCAACCGGCGCTTCGCTGGACAAAATGGTAAAGATCTTTTGCACAATAATAAGGAGTCATTGGTTCTGCAGTGTAGCGTCTGGCCCAAACTAATGCAACTCTGAGCATGCATTTTTTTTTGTTACTTCTGTTTTAGAATGCATCACTTGCTGTGACAGAACATTTACAGATGTTCCTTTATGTGTGTGGTCAAAAGTTTTCGGGGGGGGAGGTTGCATTGATAGGATTTGGACCTCAGTATTCCTAATAAAGCAACTGGACTGATATTTATCAGTGAAAAAACATATAGATTACTACTATTACTAATGTTGTTTCCTTCCTTCACGTCATGTCTTCTCTCTCTGCTGTTTCCTTTCATTGAGAGACCGTCTTCACTAGAAAAGGGACAGTATCTGTTATTTGTTCAAAGGCTTAAAATTACTTATGTTTACGTTTTCTTGACTAGCAATGTCTTCGGGTTTTGAAAAGTGCCAAATACAGTGTGTACCTCCATCTACTAAAAACAGTCAACTTTGTTTCCTATAAGCACGACAATCTTTACTGGAACCCATACCAAGTAGTTTTAGCTGCCTAAACTTAAACAAACCTTTAACTACAGAAGTAGCAGATGAGATAAGAGGAATTGTTTTTACAACAACTATATTGGATAATTTTGAAAGGCACTGTTATTAAGGTATGAGGACTTGTTAATTCCCTATTTTCTCTTTTTCTCAGCAACTGCATACGGTCATGGAACCTACTTTGCTGTAAACGCCAGCTACTCAGCCCACCCTACCTACTCCAAGCCAGCTGTTGATGGTTCTCAGTTAATGTTTGTGGCTCGAGTCCTGACTGGGATCTACACGCAGGGCCAAAGCAACATGAAGGTTCCTCCACCTCGCAGTGACCAGCGGCCCCATGACCTCTACGACAGTGTGGTGGATAACATAGTCAATCCCAGCATGTATGTTGTGTTCCATGATAACCAAGCGTACCCAGACTACCTCATCACCTTCAAGTGAGGGAAACATGGTGTATGACAGGGTGGGTGCAGAATGAGTGAATGTACATGATAATGATAGTACATGATGAAACTACTGAACCATTGAAGCTATAAAGTTAGCTGCATGAACATGTCACGTATACTCTCCACAGATTCTCAGACACACCAGCAGCTTCTTCTCTGCTGGAGCTGCCGATTTGGCTTCTTTTGTTTGTTCTCATCCTCTCACATGGACCTTTTCACTTTTGCTTTTACTCTGTAATGGATGCAACTTGAATCGTAGTGAAGTTAACAATGCTTGAGATAAAGAATAGTAGGGACAAGTGAAAATAAGTTGAAAAAAAGAAAAAATCTTTTTTAAAAACACTCAAAAAGTACAAGGGCACATACACACAAAATGTGTTCCATTAATAAAATAATATAATTTGTAGTGAATATAATTAGTTTGTTCCACAGCTGGTTTTAAGAATAAAGTAAAATATAAGCTTTTCTTTAGTATAGTTGTGTTTTTGGTGTTTCTGCTTTATTTTGGATAGACACGGTAGAGAGAGACAGGAAAGGCAGGGGAGAGAAAAAGAGACAATGCCATGAAGCAAAAGCACCTGTTTTTTGGTATGTTTACTTAAAGCTCTAGTTGTATGTAGCAATATGTTTGAGAGAGAAATTCAATTTGTATAATAAATATATATGAACATCTCCAGTTTTTAATCTTCAAAGGCAGGGTGAGTGATTTTAATCCAATACATGTCTTGAAACATAGTGGCTCGCACCCCGGTAAACAACACTATTCCAGCTGTTCCAGCCATGTTTAGTTAGTCAGGTAAAGTTTAACGACTATTGGGCATAAGCGAAGGTAACATGGGGGCGGCCAACCCTTGGTCCCGGTTAGGAGGGGGACCCCCTACGTGGGAGGTGAAATTTCTGTAAGTTTATTGTAGAAGGGTCAGACAAGATGGATGCATACAATTCAATTCCAACTTTCCTAACTAAATTCAGCTGTTCTTATTAAATTAAACAGTCCCGGTTTCAATGAGAAACCACCACAAGAATGACAATTACCAACAAAAACACTATTCTAAGCAGACATGTTTAAAAAACATAAATCATAACTGGGAAATTTCCAAGTTGGAAAAATCCAACTTCCGACCTCAAAGCGTTCCAGGTGCATGGTGGTGCATGACACCAGAAGTGAATGAAAGCCATGGCTGACCATGACAAAGTGTACACAGTTGCACCCTCAGTAGTGCTTTAGGTGTTAATTAAAAGGATGGCAGTTTAAATGCAAATGCAATGACTTTATGAGATTCTTTACATTCCATGGAGTTGCCTGGAATGCAGCATTAGTTATTCCCACTGTGGATGCATGGAGAGACGCAAGAGAACCAAGCCAGGAGAGAAGGAAGGAGGAAATGTGTTTTTATGCCGCTTTCCAGACCAGTCGGAACTGGGAAATTTCCAAGTTGAAATATCCGACTTCCGACCTCAAAGCGTTCCAGGTGCATGGTGGTGCATGACGCCGAAAGTGAACGAAAACCATGGCTGACCGTGACAAAGTGTACACAGTTGCACCCTCAGTAGTGCTTTAGGTGTTAATTAAAAATATGGCAGTTTAAATGCAAACAACTGACATAAATAACTTATACGTTACTAGTTAACTGTGTACCCCCAAGCTACATCAGTTGGTAACCCTCAAGTCAGTAAATGAAGATGACTTTATGGGATTCTTTACTGTAGCCAGCTACGTAATAGGCCTAACATATTTCTACATCATGCAAATATACTTTTTGTTGCCTTTTAGTTTATGGTTTATCATTTACAATTTGTGTTTCAATGGGCTCTGACATTGTTTAGTGACTTAATTCAGCTGCTACTCGTGAGGACACAAGTAGGAAATCCGACTTCAAGTGGCGTTTCAGGATAGTTTTTCTAGTTGAAGGTCGGAAATCTCCCAGTTCCAAGTTGCATGGAACGCAGCATTAGAGACATGAGACGTCCTTTCTTCCAAAGCGTCACGTAAATTGACGTCCATTTCTGCTGATGGCGGCAGCTGATCACTGCTGGATCAGCGGTCAGTGGGCTCTAACAGCTATAGAGACTTTTGATGGAGTTTGTGTCTGCACTCATGTGCACTGTGTTGGTACTAATAAAGTCTCACAGTTATCAGTGCATAGCAGCATGATTCTCAATGTAGCTGTTACGTGTTTAACAAATACCTACACATGAATAATTCAACCCGTTCTTATCAATGTGCGTACAAATAACACGGCTTTACACTTTCCAATTATAGGTTTCTTTATTGATTGATACTGACATATTATTGATACTGATTGTAAATTCATTATTGAATAACCCAGAATATGATCGTGGTGTCTTGAGATTTATTAGGTTAAATGTTTCAGGGAAATTGAAATGATGTAACTCGTATCAAAGTCGACGCTCAGTTTTAGGCTTTCTGTTTATTTCCTCTTCTGATGTCCTTTAACACTACTGCATACAGGTTATTTGCAAATCACATCGTGACTGATCGATCGCTGCTTTTCATTCATACTTTCATCAAATAATTTGCTAGCTTCATTAAATACTTTGGTGCAGTTTCTTCTTGTCCGACTCCTTATGTGTAGCTATGGTTTATTGTTATCTATTTGGACTAAACACAGGAATGACCAGCCTCACATGACTGAATAGAAATGACGATAAATTATGTAAAACATGCTGACAGACTCTCCGAATCTCTCTGACTTTAATTGTCTCCATAATAAGAAAAATGATCTCGTTATCACGAGAAAACAACAGTCATCATCCCGCTATCACAGGAAAACGGAGTAAAATAAAGATATGAATCGATGGCCGCTTAGGGCTTCCGTAGTTCAGACCTACAATGAACACAGATTTTAACGAGACAGTGAATCATAAAACAACACAAATATAAGACTTTGCAGTGATACACTTGAGTTTAATGTTATCTGTCCTGATGTATCATATCAGTCTGATCAGCCGCAGCGTCCAATCAATATAATGGTCGGTCTTTAAAACACTTCCACGAAGGATGTACTGGTGTAGCTTATCGTCTGCTCATAGCTCCTCAGAGGAAAAGACAATCGTTTATTTTTTATTTATTGACAAACATTCCATATACAAAAACATGGCACTGAGTTGTCACATACTGCAGAAAGGATCAAGTGCATATCAAAAGACAGGGAAAAACAAAAAAGAAAAGAAGATCAAAGGAATTTAAATAAAAGGAAAAAGGCTATGGTTTTTCCCCAAATCATATTCTGCTATCATACTAAAAAGTCTCATTGCATTCTTTACTTTCATAACATTAAGGGCTTTTGTAAAGGAAAGAAGCTCATTATGAAATACACAAAACTTAGGATTCACTTTCAAAAACTTTGACTTGTGGATATAAAATATCCCAAGAATGACAATGTTATTAATCAGAAAGTCGTCTTTGTTCTTGTCCATGACACAACTATAGATAATGTCCTTCAGAGAAAAGTTCTTGAGATGGGTGAAGACAGTCATGTAGGCTATATCAAGCCACAACGCTTCTGAATAGGTCTACATACAATGGAAGAATAAATGATCAGTAGTTAGTTTTATTGTCACACACAATTATTGGTTTCTATTCCAAAACGCTGTCATATGAAGTCGCTGGATGGATACATGGATAGAATTTTAAAATGGATTTCTTTAGCTTTGGGGAATATAGGGAATTTTAAATATTTGGTTCGTAACTAGTGAATAGTACATTTTGAGAAAAATTGAGAAATTGAGTTTCTAAAGGATATTGTAGGGTATGAGATGCTATCAATCAAATTTCTAATTGTTTTGTTAGGGATTTTTACCTAATTAAAGACAACGCCTCCAACTAAAAGTAGAGGGAGAGAAGGGGTGACAGGAGTGGAGTTCATTAACATTCCCCTAAATAAATACATAAAAGAGTTGGGAATAGCATTAGTTATGTGAGTTATTATGAGTTAAAATGATTACGATTGGCAGTGAGGTCCTGTCTTAGACAGAAGTTCTCATATGACATGAGATAACCGTCACTGTCTGAGTGAATCACAGACCAAATACCTTTATCCATCCAGTCTTGTTGTACAGTGATTTGTTTTTGACTGTGATATATCTATTATTTCAAAATGGGGAGTTATCAGAGGTAAAGTTATGATTATATAAGAGTTTCCAATATAACACAACCTGCTGGTGAAACGGGGATAATTTAATTGGAAGTCTTTTAATAGTGAAATAGAGGAAAAGACAAATAAAAGACTTGAGAAGCACCTTAAGTACAACCCTTTTGAACCGACCATTTTTTTCCCGCTGTTAAACTAGCAAAATTGGAGTTGGACACGTCCCAAACGCAACTGTGCCACACGCTTAATGCAATGCCCTAATATCGTAAAACAGGGCCCAAAAGCTGCTTCTTTCTTTGTTGTCAGTGCTTCAGGAGAGTTTTTAGTCTCAGTAGGACATCTAGTGGTTTGGTGTGGTAATACCCCATTTTATTTTGCTTTTATTTTTCTATGGAAATTGCGACACATGAAGCTGGGGAACTTGCAGAAACTATTGATGTCAGGGCATAAAATGCCTAAAATAAAATAAAAATATCTGGTGTCGTCCATCCACCCTTTTTGAGTGTGTACATAGTAAATTTGGGGAAGTCAATGAAAAAAAAATATGCTTATACTACTTGAAATTTAAACTAAATGAATACACTTAAGAACTCATGCCATACTGGGAATTACAACATAGTTCAGAATTTGAGGTATAATGGATAAATGTCAACACCCATTATACTTCGAAGCAAAAGAGCTTAAGGGCAAAGACAAGTAGATCAGGCATCACTTTCTGAAGATCAGAGACTCTGGGGGGAGGATTTGATTGTGGAATGATAAAAAATATTGGAGAAAACACCGGTCAAATCTGCTTTGAGAAGAAAAGAAGGTTAAAAATCCCACTAGATTCAAATGAGTTATGAATAAACATTGTGTTTTTTTCTTGTTTTTAGTCCAGGAAGGGGTTTTGGAAAGGAAAGTACACACCCCTGTTTCTTGTGGAGAGCTACATCTGACGATGAGCCGAACCACTTCTCCTCACAACACTAAATCCACTTAATATCCATCCACCAGTCACTTGCAGGTTAGTTAACCCTTGCGTTTTGTTGACACTGGTTTTACTGGTCATTGTTAGGGGTCCCACACACCCCAATGCTGTATGTATATGTAGGCCACATATAAAGATAATTGCAACATTAACCAGTTTTTGCCCCTTCGAAGAAATGTTAAAGCTACATTAATTTTGTATAATTAAATTTTAACACTAAATCAAATGACTACATGGCATGTGAAAGTTATGGGTCTAATGATGAACACAGAGAAATATCACCAAACTGTAGAGCTTTTTAGCCTCTTTCAGCTCATTCATTTATTTTTATGGCTCTTATTTTTATTTACTGTTTTGCTTTAGTCTCTAAGCAGCAGCAGGCAGCTGTTTTCTTTGTGTCTTCAAACTGTTGAATATTAGTTTTCTATTAATTCCTGTGTGATAGTGTTTGGATGTTTTTATTTTTATAATCTGAAACACAAATGTGTGAAATGTGTCATCATCATAGTTGCTTATATCAACATTATTTATCAAAACATCATGAGTTATCAACATCATTATACTACAATAACTCTTATCAGGGCACCTGTAAAAGACTAACCAGGGAAATGTCCCAGTTGAACTCTGGTGAAAAGTCTGATGTAACCGGATGTGTCCATGTAATCACAAGGAAGTGAACAGAAAACACCATAGTAAGTGAAAGTGAAAATAAGCAGTTCAGGGCACTCCGGCAAACCTAAAAGTGCCACACTTGCCAAAAATGGGTGAATACCAACATCCACTGCTAAAGATCTGGCAGACAGAGACAAAGGATAAGATCAGGAGATACTTTCAGAAAAGACAAGATTCTGGGGGAGGTGACTGTGGGACGTCTGAAAGGACTGGAGGCAACAACTATAAAATCAGTTTCAAAGAAAAAGGAGGTAAGGAATCCCATTGGGTTTAAATGAGTTATAGGTCGAATATACTTTGCACTTTTGGATGTAATGTGGTATTTATTTGCACCTTGGACTTTTACAGACCAGGAAACGGTTTTGCAGAGAAGGTTTCACACAATGTCCGTCCCAAAACAAGTGAAAATCCTACAGCAGGACCACTCTATTGTGACTGGTGATATCAAAGTGTACACAGTTCAGGCTGTGAAGGAAAGGATTGCATTCCTAGAAAAGAGCCTGCCAACCCGGAAGGAACTGCCAATTGTGGAGAAGCAGTTCAAACTGGTGGAAGAAGAGTTTAGTCGAGAAATGCGTGCGCATTGCCCAGAGGTCAAAATCCACAGAGGTAACGCCATGATCATCTTGGTAGGCCCTGACAAGGAGGTGCAGTCAGGAGTGACAAAACATGATGAACTGATCAAAAAGGTGAAGGAAAAGAGAGTTATGCTCCCCACAGATTTAATAAAGTTCATAACATTCAGCAGTGCAATCTCCAAGTACCAAACTCGCTTCCAGCAGAGGCTCAGAAATCCTGTTTCCCTAGAGGTGGGGTCAGACCTGGTCCTGTCCAGTTTGTCCTCTGATGCTCTGGATGAGGCTAAGACAGCAGTGGTGAGAGACCTGAGTCTGGCCACTGTGCAGCTGCAGGGAGCTGCAGCTGTACCTCCAGATCTAGACAGAGTGAAAGAAATCATGATCAGAGCCAAGAACAAGGAAAACAGTGGGGAGCTCAGAGTGGACGTCAGCTTCATACCAGGACCCAGTGGAACAACAGTCACCAAAGTACGACTTGTGGGCTACAATCAAAATGTGAACAAGCTGAAAGAGGTTCTGCACGACTACCAGATGAACCAAGTCAGAACACATGAAGTACTGAACCTACCACATCCTGAACTGGTTGACTGTTTTGATAAAGTCTTAGCACTGGTTGGCATGAAACAGACCAAGGTGACCTTAAAAGCCTTGCATTTCCAATATCCATGTGTGCTTGTGTCTGGCCCCCGTTGTCTGGTCCAGGAGGCCCAGCAGGCCCTAATCTCAGCTCTAGCCAGTCTGACATCAGACACTTTGGTTCTAGATGGACCGGGGGCTCAGCGTTACTTCCAAACAGAGGGCAAAGAAAGCAAGGAGCTGGTAGAGAGCTCCTGTCAGGTCCTGATCAGGGAACAGAAATCACGAAGTATCAGAAGCCCGAGCAGCCTCACACCCAGACCGTCCATCACCAGACGTCGCAGCAGCACTGTTGGGAGCGTTGTGGTCAACAAGACAAGCCTGGAGATCAAGCTGGGCAGTTTAGAGGAAGAGCAGGTTTGACAATTTATGTTCTAATTTATATAAACTAGTCCAGCAGCAATGCAACACTCAAGTTGATATTATTTTACATTATTTCCACAGGTGAATGTGTTGGTGGTCCCCATGCTAAACAGGCAGCTGACTTCTACGAAAATTGGTAAATGTCTGTTGAAAAGAGCAGGGAACGTGATCCAGTCCAAGTTTGACTCTGTGGCAGCGAATTGTTCTCTCGCCCCTGGTGATGTTCTGCAGATTGATGGGCCTCCATCTCTGGGCTGCTCCAAGATCTTCTTCATTGAATGCTCACCGTGGGATGGAGTCAGAGGGCAGAGTGTTCAGGTAAAGTGAAATACTTGGTGGATTCAAAAATATTGGAGAGAAAACATTACGGGTGAGGGCAAAGGATTAGTTCAAATTCAAGTTTCTCCGCAAAGACATTCATTCGTATGGATAAATAATAACTGAAATATTTAGAAGAAGAATGGCACAATAAGCTTAAGAGAGAAGTTCAAACCCTTCCTCTACATGCCTGGCCAAATGCTGCATAAATCTACTCTATGTCAATTTCTGAATCACAATCACAATCAAAATACTTTATTGATCCCCGAGATGAAATTCCTGTGTCACAGTTGCACAAATTTTAACCCACACATTTTTGAAAGCAATGTGCAATGCAGGGGATTTTTGTTGTTTTGTAGGCGCTTGCCAATGGGCTGAAGAAGTGTTTGGACCTCTGTGTACAGCAGCGCTTTAGCTCAGTGGCCTTTCCAGTTATCGGACCTGGAATTGTTTTAAAATTCCCGCTGAGTGAAGCCATTCAAGTGCTGACTGAGAACATTCGCCAGTTTGGATTATCTGCATCCTCTGGGTCTCTCTCCACCATCCACATCGTCATTAAACCAGACTATCCAGACTCTGAGCAGGTGACTATCAACACTCAGACAACTGTAGTAACTGGTTTAGACGCATTAATATAGGCTTTATTGAAGAAAAAGTAATTAATGGTGATGATTTTATTTACAGTGCTACCATGATGTTCATAGACACCTCAGCTCAAATATGAACCAGGGAGGCCAAGGTAAACTAGACAGCTGCTCAGACTACTTTGACTGTTGACTGTTACAAAATTGCAAAAACAGGGAAGAATCTCAAATAATTATATATATTTATTTGTTAGTAATGTTTCACCATTTCCACTGACATTCTAAATTATATGATTAAACATTAGACATGTTGTGGTTTTCTTCTACTTAGCGATCTTCAGGTCTCTCACTAGTGATCTTGATGACATCACAATGACAGTAGGAGGCGGGGTTAAACTACAGCTGGTGTTTGGTGACATCACTAATGAGACTACAGATGCTGTGGTGAACACGACCGACTTCACAAATTTTCATGACGGTGGGTGAGAGCTGCTGTAGCTGAGGATGTCCTAGTGAGCAGAAAACCACATTGTAACTGTGAAGTTATTTTTAGCCACGTCAGCGACGTGACTCTAGGGACGGCAACGTCGGTCAGTAGGTTCATGACTTTGTTCTAGACCGAAATATCTCATCAACTATCTGATGGCTTGCCCTGTCATTTGTTACAGAAATTCATGTCACCCAAAGGGGTTAATCATGATGACTTTTGTGATCCCCTTACATATAATCTACAGTCACCAGCAGATCATAGTTTTCACTTATTCTATTCTTGATCAATTGATGGATTGTTTGACATATGTGTTTTATTTCCTAAAATGTTTGAATTGATTGCCATGAAATTTGGTACTGGAACTGTTAAAATGTTGGTGATCACTTCATTTTTTCTGTTTCTCTGCACTCCAGTCTCTTACTGACATTCCCATCAGTCTCTGTGCTGTCGGTGTACTTTAGTGTGTACTAAGAGCAAATGTTAGCATTGCCAATGACAGCATGCTAATTTCAGCATTTAGCTCAGTGCACTACTGTGCCAAAGTACAGCTTCAGAGACCCTTTATTCTACAGATGGTGTGTGCAAAGACATCTTAACTGTAGCTGGACCACAGGTGGAGGCTGAACTAAAAGCAGGTGAGAAAAGAGGACCAGAAAGAAATGTTCACGCAAAACACACTTAACAGTTTCTTACTCGTCTTGTCTTTGTTATGTTTATGTAGCAAAAGTGAACCAAGGGAGAAGTTTTTGTATCTCAGTCTGGATCATTCCCTTGTGAAGCCATTTTACATGTGTGTGGACAAAGAGATGCTGGTATTATTGAACAACTGGTGCGTCGCATTATTGAACATTGTGAAACATCTGGATTCAAGTCTGTGGCCATTCCTGCCATCTGTGCTGGTAAGATTTTTGTAAGACTTTCAAGATGTTCAATAATCTCACACACATACAGTGTAAATGACATGAACATGTAGTTCATCTCAACAACGGGGGCCAGACACAAGCACACATGGATATTGGAAATGCAAGGCTTTTAAGGTCACCTTGGTCTGTTTCATGCCAACCAGTGCTAAGACTTTATCAAAACAGTCAACCAGTTCAGGATGTGGTAGGTTCAGTACTTCATGTGTTCTGACTTGGTTCATCTGGTAGTCGTGCAGAACCTCTTTCAGCTTGTTTTAAATCTGCCTGTAAAAATACAAACTGTTTGTGCAGGAATTGGCGGGTTGGACCCTGGTGTCGTAGCAGGTGCCATCCTCCGAGGTGTCAAGACCGCCACATCGTCCACTCTCCTCTACTGTCTCACCAACATCCGCCTCGTCTTGATTAAGATCAAAGTTTTCTTGAAGTTTAAAGAGGAAGCAATGCAAATGTTTCCCACTGCTGGAATCAATAGAGGTGACATGTTTTTAAAAAAAATCAGAATTCTCTAATTTCATTGGGAATTGTGACTGATCGTTATCATGTGATCTACCTTACAGTGTCAGTACCTCAGTTTTCTTATGTACAACAACAACAACTCCCTTCACCTGTGAGTCCAGACCTTAACATCTTCCATACCAGCTCCTCAAATGAACAGTCTGTCTTCCTGTTCCTGGGTCTCTCCAGAAAGGATGTTGATGATGCCAAGACTAAGCTGAAGAATCTGTATCAGTCTCAGTGCTCCACTCAGTCCTTCAAAAAGGAGGAGCTGGCATGCCTCACCCAGGAGGACATGGAGGATCTGAAGCAGCTGGTTGAGACTGAGGGTCTGTACATGCAGGAGGACCAGTCCGGCCAGGGCAGCTTAACAGTGAGTGGTTTAAAGGACGGGGTCAACAAGGTTGTGCACATGATTAATGCCTCTGTGCACGGCTCCCTCAGAAGAGAGGTGAGAGTCAGGGAGGAGGAGGAATTGTACACCCGTGTGGCTTGGTGCATCCTGGGACCTAACGGCACCTGGGAGAGACTCCCTAAAACAGCCAATCACAGCCTGGAAAAAAATGATGTAGCAGGAGGGATAGTGGACGCACAGGGCATCCGGTGGAGTGTGAATGCACAGAAGTCGGAGGCAACAAGCCGAGTAAGTGGACTGAAGGCAAAGCTGAAACGACTCATGAATCTGACAGGTGAGAAGCTGGTTCTAGATAATAAGTGATGTTATAAAAAGATATTGGCTGTGTTCTGTCCTCTTCACACGCCTTGCATGAATTGACAGGCAGTTGAACTCCATTCCCAATTACTACACTGACAAAGACATTCCAAGTTGACTTTCTATAATGTAGCAATTGGCAGTAGGGTAAAACTGACAGAAAGAAAAACAAACATAAGTCAAAGGTGTCCAAATTGCCACTATGGTATGCACACATACACATACATTCATACATTATCTGTATGTAACCTACACACAAACTTTTCAAATATCTCTGGTCTGTGAAAATATCCATACACATCAACAAATGATGAACTCTTAAGTTATTTTTACATACCAACGATGCTTTCAAAGACCCAAATGTCAGGATGAAAAGAATGAACTTTATGTAGGCTCTTATGCTGCACTCCAGGCAACTCGGAAATTTCCGACTCCAACTAGTACTGTGGTACCATGGAACGCCACCTGAAGTCGTATTTCCTACTTGTGAACTTAAAATATGTACACCAACTTCACGAGTAGCAGCAAAATGACATCACACAGCAATGGCAGCTCCCATGAAAGCACACATATAACACAAACTAAAAGGCAACATAAAGTATATTTTCATTTATTTAAATTAAAATAATTCATGATTTCATATAGTAAAACATGTTCTGCATGTAAATTTATGTAGAAATATGTTGCTAGGTAGCTGGTTACACTAAAGAATCTCTTAGTCATCTTCTCTGCACAAACGTTTATTATAACGCTATTCAGTAAAATGTAAAAAATAAAAAAAAAAGTATAATGTACAACATGTTCTGTCTTTAAAATGATTTCCACTTCAGTCACTTGTTTTCATTAAAAAAATCTTTACAAGTTACACACACAACTTGAAATGCGATTTGTGGGGTTTCTTTTATTGTTTTCCCACCTTCAGGGCTGGTCATTTTATGGAAAATAAAATACAGTTGCTCCGCTGAAGTCACAGTTGAATGTACAAAAGTTGAATGTACAAAACAAAAAATTTCAATAAACTGGTCTTCTTTGAGTCGAAAATAGAAACTAGAAACACGGGGCAATGATGCAGCAATTATTACAAACACAACAGAAATGCAGCCCAAACACGGCACAAAAGCAGCATGAACACAGTACAAAAATACGGCAGTGGCACCTCTATTAAGAGAGGACAGAAAAATATTCACAACACTGCACAAAAATCACTACATATCAGTTGTGCTAACTTTTTAGCTCATTCGTGTAACAAACAAAACAATGTTTCCATACACAGATAAATACAATAGTTATACAAATAGAAACACCGTCATCAGGTAACTTCCATTTCATACCTAACTCACGGATAACGAGCTCTCATGGCCTACAGGCAAGGTTTCTTCCACAATCCTAAACGCAACAATTACATACAATGTGGAGTTTAATACATACATCGTACACCACTAAACCAACACATTGTAGTGATGGCAAGTTCGAGTCTTTTGACAGACTCGTTCATTCAAATCTCATTAATTAAAATGAACAAATCTTTTTTTGAGTCATTTCGTTCATTTAAACTAAGCTGGTTATTGTGGCACTGCAGCCCTCTAGTGGGCGATTAAAAAAACAAATTCAAACCATGTAAAAAACACAGAAATATGTTGTCTATATGCAATCCACTACTCCACCTAAATCCTTCTATTTTCACAACCTTTCCTGAGTATTCAACCAGATCAGCCATATAAAGCCTTATGTATATAATTACTATCTTTATTTCTGAAGTGCTCATTCATACAGTAACGTTAGCCTAACGTCCCTATCCATGAGTAAAATATTAATATCAGATTTGCAGTAAATATACTGAAGTAATAAGCTTGATACACTATATGAATAAACACACTCTTCAACCAATTTAATAATAATCTGGATCAAGCCACGAAGTTTTTAAAGAACTCCAGCACAGAGAGAGGAACAAAGAAATATTAACACATTATATAAACGCAGCAGTTTGGCAGGTCTGGACGCAGAATGGGCCACATCAGGTCCGGATTCTGCAGACAGAGAAACAAACATGAGCACATAAATAAAAAGGAAAAGTTAAGTTGCGTTCTCTGGCGGACCTGGATCAGCTGTAATCTGTAACACACCACAGGGCTAACGCTAACGTTGCTATGTGGCTGTGTTTTAATGTTTTAATGATCGGGTCTGTTTGTTTTGGAGAGGCGACGACCTCGGAGGTAATTCGTCTCCCGGTAGAACCCTGTCAGGGCTCTGAAGTGGACCCAGAACAACTCTCATCAGCTTTAACACTAGCAGGACTAAAGTTACGGTACGGCTGTGTTAAAACTATAACTTAGCACAACATCACTGCGCTGTAATAATGTTATGCTTTATTAAATGTCACATAATTAACAAAATAGCTATATAATGTCAGTCCAGTGACTGTTACCTGACAGCCGACCTGCCTCTCATTCTCCGGGGCTGGCAGTCACTCAGTCTGCCGAGAGAACGAAAGACTGAGGAGGACCCATGTGAGCGGTGAACGAGTAGTTCATTCCTGCTCCACAGTAGGAGCTGTCATGTGACAAATGAACGACTCAAACATGAAGACCCACAGTTGCTGTGAGTCGTGAACTAATCAATTCTGTTTCCTGTGTGGACGGAGCCCATGCAGCTGCCGTGTGACGAGTGAACGTAAGAGTCCAAGATCCTTCACACATGCGTGAAAATCAACGAATTACTCACTGAGACAACCCGTTCCTTCCGAGTCATACACACGATTAGGTCATTGAACGACACAACACTAGACGACGGTCCCAGAGTCATCACACCAGCTTCAGACAGCGATACAACTGTTCTGCTACTCTAGCTCACATCACAGCAACATCAAGACAAGGAAATGTATTACCACAAGTAATGCCGTGGATTAAAACTCACATTCATGAACATATTACTTGTAATGTTATAAAACACCTTTAAACACATTTACTGTGAATATCTGTTTCCATTAATTTTTTTCAGACTTCACTCTCCCCCTGTACTGGGATAACATAGCTGCCAGTGAAAATTTTAGGAAGGTTGAACTGCAGCCTTCCTCCGCAGAGTACCGGACAGTGAAGGAGGCCTTCAAACAAACTGTCTCCAAGACTGTAATGAAGGTGGGCAGCTCTCATTGAAAAAGACATTTCATTGTCTGTAGACAAAAAGTTTTTTTTGGCACCTTCCAGATAGGCTAACTTTCATCTAGATAACAATATTTTTTATGAGGGGGTTTCCTTTACATTTTACTTTGTCTGTCAGCTCACTATAGTCTGGTTTTGTTGATTTCTCAATAGATCGAGCGCCTGCAGAATGTTCGTCTTCGACGCGCCTATGAAGTGCAGAAGAAGAACATTTCTGATAAGAACATACAGGAGGGTGGAGCAGGTGAAAAGCTTCTCTACCATGGGACGACCCAGGAGAACTGTGACTCCATCATGAAAACTGGGTTCAACAGGAGTTTTGCGGGGCAACATGGTAAAGATCTTTTGCACCAGTTCACAGTAATACATAGTCATTGGCAGCTTGCGAACAAAACCATAGCTTTCGAGGGAGTTTAATCTTTTATCGGGGGGCGGGGGGTATGCTTCAAAGACAGGACTGACTGTGAAAATTGTTTCCAAAAAAATACTCATAGAATGTGAAAATATCAGACATTGTTTATTCTACTATTATTATAGCCCTTTTGCTTCAATTTGGCTTCACACGAAGGCTGCAACAGCCTCTCTACACTGTTTCAATTTGATCTTTCTTTTCTCTGCAAGATGGAAGAATTTAGAGTTAAAGTTGCATGGCGCAGCGGAAAATCTCCAGCTGCAATAGCACTGCAGCCATTAATTTCTATTTTTCTGTATTATCATGGATCATGCATAAAGTCAGGTGCATCGTGCGTCATTCACTGTCCGCAGCACGCTGGGTCCTACTAGCAACAAAACCCTTAGGCCTATGTTGGGAGCTGGCGCTGTCGGAGCGGGAGGCCACACCCAACAACAGGCCCGATGGTGTGCCAGTGGTGGTAGCCCATATCATAACTTAAAACATGTGGAAAGTATTAAGATTGATACCAGTGGACATTATAATAAGCTATCTGCTATTGAAATCAGTGTGAACAGATGCACTCAGTCTCTCTCAATCACAACTCAACAGACTAGTGGTCTTACTAATACACAGCTATGACAATAATAGACATAGGCCAACGATGTGTGACAGTGAGACCACAAAAAAATTGGATGTGAACTGTATTTTATTAACTTATTAAATCACTCATAACTATAAACAGGCTAAAACAAATGCCTTGATATTATTCGATTGAAAAGCAAAGGATTTTCCATGAACATCATGAACATAGGTGGACCAGATGTAGCAGTCATTGTGGGCAGTTATGGAGCATGGTAGGCCTACTTCCTTTTATAAATGTTTTCTTGTCAGAAGCACAGTACTCATGCAGCACTGAGTATCTGTTTGTCTTTCACACTGCCACAGTAAAACTATGAACAGAAAAAGCTCACTCCTAATGAGTTCCACAGAGCACCTGTTCTTGCTGAGAAATAGCTAATGAATGATGAACCCCAATGCTCCTGATTTTAGAAGAAGACATACTTTATTCATACTGGAAGGGGAAATTCAATGTTTTTTCACTCTTTTATTAATGTTAGTATTAGACACACATAGGTCTGAAATACACACATGCACAAACAGGACCAATAGCAACAAGCAACACGTCACATTCTCATCTCAGTGTGTCAATTACGGAAGCTTTGAGACAGCGTGACAAAGCATACTTATGCAGATGGTACTCATCCGCGTCCGAATGAAACGCAGCAGTTTGCTAGTGCGTTGCAACACAAAGGAGGCTCACCCTACCAGCTAGCACAGCTGTAGGGTGAGCCGGCCGTCACGCATACATTCAATGACTTAGGCCCTGTCTACACGAACATGGGTATTTTCTAAACCGTGACTTTTTCTACGCGGTTTGGCCGTTCGTACACACGGAAACGCAGTATCAGGTCACTGAAACTCCTGCCAGGGTAAAGATTTTAAGAAACTCCGGTTGCAGTGTTGTTGTGTAGACAATGAAACCGGAGTTTTTGCCTTGTGTCGTCAGAGTGCGCGTAGTTATCTGCTGTGTTTGATGTCAGATTGTGTGCCACTGCCTGCTTTGTTTACGATTTTATTAAACTCCAACTGGCCAATATGGCTTTACGGTTAAGGTCATATCGCCGCCTGGTGGTTTGGCATGCTCTTGACAGAGATCAATAGTGTGTTTTTGCGTTTTCATGTAGACAGAGATTTTTTTTTAAAACAAAGGAGGAAAAACTCCGGTTATAAAAATATCCTTGTCTGTGTGGACTAGGCCTTTGGTTTAAGCATAAAGCCCTGGGTTAGAGTAAGAGGCTTCGGGGTGCTGTCAATGCTTTTAACACAAACTATGCTAGCTGACTGAAAGCGCTACTTGCGTTTCCGGTCGCCCCAGGGCGTCTCCCATACAGACTATGCTTTTCCACCCACTGCCACCTCTCCAGCTACCAGTCCACACCCCGCAACCCTCCGGTTTCCAGCCTAATCCTTATCCTAATCCTTTTTCTTTTTTAGAAAATACATTTTTCAGTTCTAAGTCAGTTTACTCATCATCCATGATGATACAGAAAAATAGAAATCAATGGCAAAAATAGCATATTGTCAATATTTTAGAGACCCCTCAAAATTTAACATATCGTGTTTTCAGGGGAGCACGTTAGAAGAGCCAAGCTCCCCCGGGCTCCCTCGTAGTTCTGCCCAAACTAATGCAACTGATTTCATCCACATACTTATATTTATTCAGAATGAATCATTGTTGTTGCCTCTCTTTTAGAAAGCATCCCATCCTGTGACTGAACATTTAATTAGAAAGCTTTCCAGACTTTCCTTTTGGTCAAAAGTTTCTAAGGGGGGTGTGGTTGCACTGATGGGATCTTGACCTCATTATTTCTAATACTGAGTCCTGATTCAAAGCAACTGTACCGATATTTATTTCAGTGAAAAAACTTGTAGATTATTACTTTTAAAGGACAAAAACATTGTTTCCTTTAGTAGTAGTTTTAGCTGCCTAAACTTAAACAAACCTTTAACTACAGAAGTAGCAGATGAGATAAGAGGAATTGTTTTTACAACAACTATATTGGATAATTTTGAAAGGCACTGTTATTAAGGTATGAGGACTTGTTAATTCCCTATTTTCTCTTTTTCTCAGCAACTGCATACGGTCATGGAACCTACTTTGCTGTAAACGCCAGCTACTCAGCCCACCCTACCTACTCCAAGCCAGCTGCTGATGTTTCTCAGTTAATGTTTGTGGCTCGAGTCCTGACTGGGATCTACACGCAGGGCCAAAGCAACATGAAGGTTCTTCCACCTCGCAGTGACCAGCGGCCCCATGACCTCTACGACAGTGTGGTGGATAACATAGTCAATCCCAGCATGTATGTTGTGTTCCATGATAACCAAGCGTACCCAGACTACCTCATCACCTTCAAGTGAGGGAAAAGTGATGTAATACAAGGTGGGTGCAGAAAATGTTGTACATGGTAATCATAGTATATAATGAAACACATTAAGGCTATAAAATTAACTGCATGAACATGTCATTGTATACTCTCCACAGTTTCTCTGATCTCCAAACCAACAGTAAATTGAATAAACACATTAAATATCCTGCAGCAGCCACAAACACACGTATTAAAGCAAAATGAGGGCAGTTGTTGCACAATTTGTGGTGTGCACACACACACATTCTCCTCTGGAGAGTGACTAACATCAACGAGTTTGTTGTCATTTTGTGAGTCTTGAGAACCATGAAGACAACTTCTCCTCAGTTTCATTTTCATACAACTAAACCAACTCATCCTCTTTGGCTACGTTCAGACTGCAGGCCTTAATACTCGATTCCGATTTTTGTCTCCCAGATCTGATTTTTTTGTCACTGGCACTATACGCATCTGCCCCACAACTCTCTCTCTCTCTCTCTCTCTCTCTCTCTCTCTCTCTCTCTCTGTAAGTAGCATGCACATAACTTAGAAGAGAGCTCACGGTGTCACCTGAGTGTCCCGACTCAGGTCGCATTTAAAAAGATCCAATCGATTTGGACCACATATGAAAGTGGCCAAAGTCCGAACTGGAAAAGATCAGATTCCATGTGACTTGGCCTGTTCACACTGTCATAAAAAGATCAGATCTGAGTTACTTATGGCCTGCAGTCTGAACGTAGGCTTTGTACTGAAAGATCTCTGCAGTCACATCAGGGATATTGTCACAAGACGTCACACATCTAACTGAGAAGTCACTGCTAGAGGCTTAGCATTCAGCACGTTAGCCAGCAGTGATGCCGCAGACACACCAGCAACCTGTCTGCTGCAGTTGCTAATTTGGCTCCTTTCTTTTTTTCTCATCCTCTCTAATGGTTTTTTCAGGATGTTTTCTTGTAAATTTTTCTTTGTAATGCATAATGTAATCAAGTATAATTTAAAAAAAAAAACAAGTACACAAAAAACAACTTTGTTCCATTAGTGAGAGTAAATGTAACCCACCAGTTCCACCGCTGGTCTTAAGAATAAAGTAAAAGATAAGCTTTTCTTTCTTCTTAGATATGTTTTTGGGGTATGTAGCTATTTTCGGGTATGTATTTACATTACTCTGTAGTTGCATTTAGCAATATGTAAAATCAAAATAAAATCTGTGAAAGTTGCAAATAAATATACATGTAAATCTTTAGTGTTTACTGTTTCAAGGTGGAGTAAGCAATTCTGATCCAATACAGGTCTTTTTGTCAAATTCAGCAAATATCTCCTCATGGTGCGCTAACTGTTGGTTCTGTGTGTACTCTGCCCGGGCTCTGTAAATAGGAAACAAACAAAGTGGCCCACACTCTGCCAAACACTATTCCAGCCACGAGTTCTGTGTCAGGTAACATTAAATGACTTGCCAACAGACATTCAGTTGACTTTCTAGTTCACCTAAACATGCCGTTTGTTGGGATGTTAGCTAAAGTAGCCGGAGGGTTGTGAGCATCGTTGTCTGGAGCTGGTGTGCTGGCTCTGGGACAGTCTCTCTGCATGTTAGCTTTGCAGCATCAACTGTAGTGACAGTTTGCTAACCAACAACTTAGCTAATGTTAGTTACATTACTTGCTGAGTTGTTGTTCACTGTATGAATGTACTGGGTCCAGAAAGTTTTCTGCACAAACATAACTTTAGCTGCTTGGGTAATTCCTCTAGGATGTTTTATTGTTGCATGTTTGTTATTTAGATTAAACCATGTACTGTTTCTGGATTTTCAGACCGTTAATGCTTCATTTTCTGACTGGCTTGTCCCAGACCAAAGACGGGATGCTGGGGCAGAAAGATTTTTTGTTGTTGTTTGGTGTATTGTACTGAACAGTATATTAAGGAATAAAAAATGTGTAAATTTATACATTTCTTGTTTCCATTGTTGTGTTCAGCATATGAAAGGGTGTCTGAGGGAAAGAACCACAAGCAACATTACTTATAACCGTTTGTTTGTAGTATTGTTTTGAAATGATCTCACCATTGTGTAAGACTGTGTTGTAGTGTGTGTGTGTTTTTGAGGGCTTGTGTGTTATGTCCATTGTTGCTGTAATAATATTACTTTTCCCAGCAACTAGTAGTGTAACAGATCACTATTTCCAATACAGTAATATTATTACAGTTACTTATCCAAGTAACTATGTGTTACTGTGTTACTGTGTTACTGCAACTGCGCTGAAGGTCAGTGTCACCAGACCTTATGTTGTTCAAGTCAGCTGTTAGCCAAAAATCTACTTTTACTCATTTCATTTAATGCTTTTATCCAAAGCAACTTACAATTGCTATGTCAGAGGTCGCATGCATCTGGAGCAACTAGGGGTTAAGAGCTTAATTTTGACCTGCAAACAGGAAGTTTGGTGAATTGGGGGAGAAGTTATGGATTTGTGTTTAGAGTTTTGAGAAAAGGAGGCATCATTTCAAGAAATGTGTTTAAGTAATCAAGAAAAACTGTAATAAAATGTGTTGAATCATTGATGGTGTCTTGTGAGGTTTTAGACATTGTTGCTCATAAAGTAAAGATAAGACAACTACTAATCACCACTGACTCACATGAATGCACACTTACATACACATAGGGAATCTTTTATTTTGGTTGATATTTGCATTTGTTCTGGTACAATGAAAAAACGCGAAGAAACAGATTTTACAGATATAAAGAGGTGGAAAGAGTGCTACAGTGCTCAAGCAGAAATATTGATCTTTAGTTTAATTGTTGCATAGTAAGTTTAAGCTGCATTAATCAAATGAAACAGCATGAAATGGGTCGGTCATAGCTCATATCCACAGAAGATTTTCGACTTGGATCGATTGCTCTTGTAAAAAAGTTGCCCTTTAACTGTCAAAATATTTCATATGGCAGAACGTATTTATAAGCCTCTTTTAAAACTTGCATTGACAACTTTTAAGCACTGTATTTTTTAGATCTAACAGATCTTTTCTCTATTTGCTTGTGACTAAAACTATCACCATTGTTATCATACATGCTGAAGCCACAACTGTTTATTATAAACCTACAGTTAAATGCTATCGACCTATATTTGGGCTGAAGTGTAAATTAGATGAATGACGTTGGGGCTCAGGGATCCTCATCCCTGTCATCCTCAGGGCTCGATGGTGACAAACACCTGGCCGGAGACCTGCCTGAGAGCAGGACAGTCCAGAGTAGCGAACACCCGGGTACTGCCGGCCCTCTGCGGGGTGAAAAACTCGGTCCAGGTCAGGGAGGAGCCTCCTGTGATCAGACTGAAACCAGCAGAGTTAGAGTTACATGCCAGAAGGACTGGGCTGATTTTTGGTGTGATTTCAAATGTGTGTCAAGAAGAGGTAACAGTTTATAATAAGCTGCAAAACACATACTTAAATGTGCTTCCGGCATTTTTGGGGGCAGCAGGAAGAAGTTGTTAACACAAAGTTGTTTTTACATTGTCATTTGACATATTCTTTTATTAATAGTTGGATTGTAGCTGCTTTAACTAATATTAGCTGGACATAGAAAAGAGCATTTCAGACACATGCAACAGAACATTTCTTAATAAAAAACAACAGTAAATGTAAATGTATTAAACAACAGGAATTTCTGACCATACTTTGTTAATTGATGCATTAAATCATCAAGAGTCAGGCGAAAGGTATGTACTGGTTGAGCATGTCTTTTGTACCATTATTATAAAGTATTACCCAATAACCTAACTTTTCTTCTTTGGGGCTTTTGTCAGATATCAAATGGACATGGTTGGTTAGGAATAAAAAGCACCCGGCATGGTTAAATTTTGTACAGAAAATAGTTAAGTATTGAAAATACAGTATTAGAGGTTTATGTAATTTGGATATCAGAACAGTAATGGCATGCCTCACTCTGAAATTTAAAATTCAGAGTGGATTTCTTTTAAATTGCAAATTTGTAAAGATCTCTGCAGCCTATCATGACAATTTTGTGCTACACAACCTACGCACAGATATGAAGTGAGATATGAAATTTGTTTTTTGTAATAACTTGAGATATTTTCAGCTGAAGGTTTGTGTGGTTATGAAAAGGGCACCAGCTCGTTTATAAATTCATTTCTAACCTGTACAGATGGAATATCTGGTGGTTGAACTGAAATCTAGATTTGCTTTTAATTTGCTGACAGATTTTACGAACAGCCCAACATCCAACTGAAACACTAACATAGTTGAGTAAAAGATGACACCCACACACCTATTTCTTCTGTGCTGAGCTCACCTGTAATATTTGGACTTGGTCTGCATGATCCCAAGTCCTTCCATGCGAATGTAGACACCCTCCAGGCTGAAACTGAAGGGGTTTGTGAACTCCACAGTCACCGTCATCTCTTCATTCACTTTCTGCACTCCAGACAGCTGAAATACACAACAAACATACATCATAAAAAGAATACTTGATAATCCACTTGGAAAAAGTTATTCAACAAAACAGGATTTGATAGTGAATTAAAGTCAAGTTTTTAATTCAATTGGCAGAACCATTGTTATTAAATTCTAGAAAAAGTAATTTTGGAAAAAGAAAGTAGTAGAAATACATTTTTGCATCGTACACAATGCAGGATGTGTAACAAAACGTTGATGCCAACCAGTGTAGAAAGTTTTAAGTATGGCCAGAATAAAAGCATTACAGACCATGATGTTGAGTTTGGGAGTGTGCAGGGTGACGACTTTCATGGCGGTGATGATCTGGCCGGTCTCCTTGACCTTCCCAGTAGCAATAAAGTGGAGGTTGGCCTGTTCCACCAGATGCTTCATGTAGTTCTTTGACTCAACCATCACCAACTCCTTCACACCTGCAGAACAAAAATACAACACTGCTCTCTCTGCATTGACCTTTACACATTACTTTGTGTTTTTTCTTTTAGAGCAACAATATCTATGATTCAAAGCACAAATGTTTCTGAGATGTAAAACTACTAAGGTAGAGGACTGAACTTTATTGAGTGTTGTCTTGTGCTAAATGATAGTATTATGATTAAATGATAATGATGTTTTACTGATGTCTAATGATTTCTAACTGTGCTTACATGTTCTTGATCATATAATTGATATTGATGGTTGCTGAATGGATACAAGTGTCAGAAATACTTCCGAGTATTAGTGTGTTTTTGTAGGTCATTTGGGTTTTATTTCATTATGACAAAAATAAATTTATAAACACCTTACTCACTTTTGTTGGGGTCAATCGTCACTGTGGGATTCCTGAACAGGAACTCGGTGCTGGTGACTCCGGTGTAATACACCACAGTCCCGCTGATGTAGGTGTTCACGATGCGGTTCTCGTCACTGCGGTTTATAAGTTCCAGGTTTAGCTCGAAGTTGTCACCCATGCTGATCTCCAGGGTGGGCAGGACCAGCTCCACGTCAGCCAGCGGAGGATTAGACTTCTCTTGTTTACAGCCGTACTCCTCTGCTTTTTCCAGGACAGTCCTCTCCTCTGTACTGCCTGGATTGGATGATCAGAATCAAAAACAGCTTTAGGTAGGTTACATATACAAGGGATTTGCTTAAAATATATTAGTTTGTTTGTACATTTCATTTAAAAGTATAATGTTAATATTTGTTTTAGTCAGAAGGTACTGAAGGTTTTCTGCATAAAGTCAGTATATTTGCAAATATCAGGACTTTTCTTAGCTTGAGAGTAAACTAATTTCAGGCCCCCAGTAACAAAATGACTTTGTCGTAAAGACGTCCAAATCATTGTTGCCAAATTCATGCCATATTTGCAACACAGCACCAAAATCAGCCTATGCAGTACTCTGGCCTTTTTTTTGTGCCAACTCTGGCTCACACCAAGCCAGAATGATGCCAGCTAGAGCTGATTTCCAGACCACACCCCATAAACCTTGTCAAATCTGGCAGCCACATAGGGGCACATGGCTGGTCCTTTGGTGCCAACACTCAGCCATCATCATCCTGAATTAACTTGGTACCTGTATCAGGAACAAAATGACTTAGCACTAACTTAGAGACTGCTCAGTAAGCTTAAAGACTGTGCTTCTAACAAAGTGTTTTGTTTTCATTATGACCCTGTGTTCAGGATAAACATATTCATGTAAGTGAACACACATTTAAACCTATAGTCATGGAGACAATGGCTCTGCCGCCTTTTAAATCACTGTGATTTGTGTTGGAAGCAGTCACTGACCTTCAGGAAACTTGTAGTGACTGGTTATGTCCCGGCGGGTCATGTCTCCTGCAGCTTTGGTCAAAACCATGCGGCCTACATGAGCCCGGTTCACTCTGACGGGCTCCAGGGTCCCATCTTTTCTCCGGGAATAAAACACCACATCACTGTTGACCTGTAGACAGAGATATCCAAAAATAAAACACTGGGTAAACTGAAGTGATCAGCTTCAACAGAAATGATTAAATAGTGCATAAATAATCATTTTAAATTATATTAATACAAAAAATGATTGTCCTGACTGAGAAATGAGTAACAAGTGAGTTACACAAGACTTTTTACAGAAGATTACACTGAAATAATGTTGTTTAAAGACTCACCTCAGCAAACACAAAGGCTGCATCAAATGGGAAGCATATCTCCCCATGTTTAATGGCTTGGACTGATGCAGGACCACATCTGTACATGCCTTTATGGATAATGGAGGAAGAGATGGGTGATGGGCCATGAGACCCTATTATATGATCCATTCATTGCTATGCATTTATTTAAAGGATATTTAGTACAACCCAATGAGAAAGTTATTTTATTTACATTTGTTTATTTTCAAGAACCTGCTATTATAAAAGCACCAGTTATTCCATATAATTATAATTTACCATCACTGGTCTCCTGTGGTGTTGCATCCACAACCTGCCAGCCTCCAAAGCCAGCTGGCAGGTCTGGTCTGGACAT